GTAAGGCTGATGTAGGTCTGGTTTTTGAAAGGCATACCAACACAAATCACACAACCCAGTTGGAATAATTTCAAATCACAAGCAGAAATGCCCAAGAGACACAACTGTTATCTGATCCAAGCTTCCTCAGAAACTGACGACAAGCATATCCAGCCGTCTACTCTTCAGTCTGTCACTACCTGTAACACCAGCAATGAGATCTACCTATGCATTTCTGCCACATAAGTAGGCAGATGGACTGAAGCCTAGAAGAAAACGCACTGGGCCTGAATCTCTTTTCTCTTGCAAGTAGTGAAAAACCGCAGAAACTTTAGGTTCAGAAAGCAGGAAACACAAACCAACTGCAAGGTGAAATTTGTAGCATATCTCCTGCCCCCAAGTTGGTGTGCTGCAACAGTGTCTGATGTGATTAACCAAAGGCACTCCTTCATGCCACTGCAGATATGCTTTGCAGGCGTGCCTCAGCTAAAGGCATCCTAGCCACCTCGTTTTCCGATCCTCTTCAGAAAGCTGTTCCAGCCAGCTCAGAGAAAACACAGGTAAGAAGACGCCTCTGCAAGCAATGAAGGCAGCACATCTAGTCCTTGCTTTGTTCAGGATCCTAGAGCAGAGCGCTCTGATCTGCTTTGTGCAAGAAGTCAGACAACTCTTTGAAGATGCCTGTGAACTTAAAAAGTTCCCTCTCACCCCTGGCTGTTAAACTCAGATCCTGGCCTGTTCTTGGGACAACATTCCTCCAGCAATTCCACCAGCCTTACCCAGCACTTCAGCACTCTTGGGAGGAGGAAGGTCCAAGCACCTTCAGTGCCAGCTCAGGCTCTTTCTTCCATGGTATGGGTGAATCAAAGCGTACTACACCCCAGACCAGAAAGGTTATGCTGAGCTCAGATCTGCATATGAATACTGAGAACGCATTTAGCTTGAGCTAAAACCAGAGGTATAGCCCACAATGCAGACAGCAAACAACGAGGTTTGAGGATATTCATACTCAGCAGCGATCTCAAAAGACAGTCAAGCTGCACAACTGGAGCAAGCACAGAACTATCGTTAGATGAAACCATACTCTGAAGAGCAATGCAGTCTCTGGGCCACCAGATCCAAGCAACACAATCTCAGCAGCATTTATGAGAAGAGACCTCTGCATGTCACTAGTCCAAGCTCTCACTCCAAGACAGAACCATCACCAACTATACATCAGTGCAGGTGTGGCTCCATCTAGCCAAGGCTTGAAAACTTCCAGGGATGGTGATATCACAAATTCTTTGTAACCTGACCAGGGCTACATCACTTCCCAGAGAAGCAGATTTACATATTCTCCTATCTGAACTCCTTAGCTACAGTTTGGGACCATCTCTCATTGTTATACTCCCTGCCACTACTGGGAAGAGTTTGATTCCATCATCTGTTTGCTGCATGACGCATGGACAATCCATCTGGGTCTGTGACCAACAGCAAAAACCACAAAACAGCACCATGTCTTCATGCAACACTACACATGTAGCTACACAATGCTGCACTGCACACCATGAGGCTCACCATGCACTTGAGGGTCTCCATGCACCACTTCTGCCATCACATTTTAAAAAAGTTAAGAGCTGCTATACTTACGTCATTATCTGGGTCTCTATGCCAGGGTCTACAAGGGATCCATCCACAAAAAGTGGTGTTGATGTGAAACTGTATTTACTCCAGGATCTTCCCTCATCAAAACTCACCCTGGGATAGAAGCAGACAAGATTTATACACATAAAAAGACTTCCTCTAGAGTAATTGCAGCAATTAAATATTGGCTAAGGTCTGCAAGCTCCAGCAGCTAGATTTATGGACAAGCACCAATCTTTGCCATTTCCCAGCCCACTAATTCATGCTCTTGTGTACTTTGAAAGATCAAAGCCTTAAACAGTGAAAACACTGGCAATAAGGACATGGATATACTTGATCCAGCTGCACATCAGACCTCAAGGGATCAAGGGGCATTGCCAAGTCCTGTTTCTGGATCTGCAATAACACCTCACATGAGGCTTCACTCAGAGCATAAGCAGCCCTGGCCTGAACGCAAGAAAATTGGTGTCTTCACCACAGGACATTTTGACCCATGCACGTATCATTGCCATATGGCATTAGCTACAATCTCCAACTCTATTAATACTTTGCATGTCATCTCAGAGGTGGTCTCCGTTTCACAGAGGGGTAGAGGAAGGAAGCTGAACTGAGCCACAGTCAGTGGTTGGTCTAGGTGCTCTTTCAGTGTTACAGATGTAATGCAAAATTGTATGCTGGTTTAAAATTAAAGAATTTCCCTTCTTAGAGGCTGAGAATGTTCACACTGTCAGTGACCAGTCAGGGTAATTCAGTGGCTTTTCATCATCTGTCTCTACCCACAACCACTGCACGCCTTACCTTCTGGTTTTATCAAAGAGCACATGTATCCTGTTTCAGTTGACAGGGTCTTGATTGAATTATGGTACCACAGGCTTTTAAATTAGCAGAGGATGGCTAGCAAACCCATCTCTCAGCTACACACCAGCAAACTCTCTCTCTCTGATAACTACAAAGGAGTAGGTGAACGAACAAAGTGGCCACACCAGCAGACAGACTAGGTCAGTACTCTGGTGGCCTGTGCCTTAGTGTCCCTTCCCAGCCTCCCTCATGGTCTTCCCTCACTCCATCCATGGCCCAGGAGCTCCACTGACACCATAGGAGTGCCAGGCTCCAGCTCTGTCAAAGCCCTGCCCAGTCATGGCAGACAGCCCTGACACACAGGCGGATGCCCCAGACTGGCCCTGCGCACCAGCGAGGTGCCCGACACCCAGCGCTGAGGCTGCCCCACTCCTGGCCGGGGTGGTGGGATGGGCACTGGCTGCCAGATCCTGCCCTGCTGTCCCAGGGCCCTCGGTCAGCTCCTGGCTTCCCAGCTCTCAAGGAGCTTCCAGCCCCGACATCACCCTGATAGTCTGTGCCCACAATAGTGCAGAAAACAGCCAGAGGAGGGTGTGGGCATCCAGCTGCTACTGCAGCAGGAAAGACAGTCAACATGCAGGCTGTCAGCATCCAGCTCCCTGAGCTGCTGCTCATGAACAGTTCAGAAAGCAACCGAGGTTCTTCCTCTGCCTCCAGACCCTCCACACAACCACTCCTGCACAATTTCTGCCTAGAATTTCAGCTCCAAATTATACCAGCCAACGAAGAACAAACAGAGAAGCACAAAGGTTTATTGGCTGTAAAATTATTTGATCCTCTCCCAGCAGGGTCATTAGAGTTCTCTGTAATTCTGCGAGGTACCTAGGCTGTGAAAGCTGACAGATTACTCTTGATAGATGTTACCAAAGAGACAATCATGGCACAAACTTCTTTGAACAGCAGGAAAGACTTCTCATTTTAGAGTGAGCATAAAAAAGCAGCTTGCCTTATTTTCCAGGTGAGAAATGTTTGGGGTGGGGGATGCATGTGTGTGTGCACATATGCACACATGCATCTGAGCACCTGGGTTTGTCTGAGAGGGTCTTGCTGGAAACTGAATCTTCCCCACTCCCAAGCATCAGGGACACTTTCTGAGATGTCACCAAAGGATCAGGAGGCCAGTGTAACACGTATTACAAACAATGAGTTACACCAACCTCAGATCTCTCACATGGAAAGCCAAGGCTTGCAGTCACCATTGCCTACACAGCTGCCTCTCACAGCACCTAGCAAAACACCTTCACCTGACTCACAATGCACATCTGTCAGAACAGGAAGCTGACTATAGACCAAAGACAGAAAGCTGGGACTACAGCAGCATACAAAAAGCTTATCTGCCCCAAATCTATTTATTTAAATGTATGTATCTTCCCACACACCTGTGCATTTGTATGCTGTTCTGCTTGCATGCTTATCTATCTAAATAGCATTTCAATTTCTGAGGAACAGCATGCTTCATTAGCTTAGCTAAAGTTCTCTTGGCTTTTCAATTATCCGCCCCTCTTTTCTCCAGGATGAAACTTATTGTACAATGTCTCAGCCTGAGAACTAATAGATATACATGTACCCTTTAATCTATTCCACTCTTGCCCATAAAACAGGTGCCTACTGAGGCAATATGAAGCAAATTCCAAAGTCCCTAAGGGTACAATTTGGAGGAAATCTGTTGGAGCTGATTGATAACAGCTCTAAATCACTACTTATTTAATAGAGTGGGTGGGGCACTTAAAAGTACTGCACATGCCATTTCATGAGACCTAGTGGAAAAGGAGAATATCTGAAAGGAACCTCTGCAAAGCAGACAAAGGCGAACTGGGATCTCGGCTCCTATGGAAAGTCAACCTGTGACCAAAACTTTTCCAGCATCTAAGCACGGGCACTCGTACATAATGTGCTTCTTACATCCAGAGCCTTCACAAGGTAAGATGCAATTAAAGCAGTTGAACTTGGCTTGAAGAATACAGTCATAAATGGTTAGTACATAACTTATAGCTCTTTCAGTAAGTGGGTCACCTTTCACTCTTCCAAAGCTCAACTTGTCACAGCCTAATGTACCTACTGCTGGTGACACCAACCCTTGGCTAGTACACACTTCTCTTGCCTTGGTTCATACTTGGTTTGGTCTAAAGACTTGGACATGATCTTGATGTCCTCTTTCCTGAGGGCACTTCAGGTATAGTCATGACTGCTGAGTTACCTATCAGAGGCAAATGTTTCTAGTTACACAACAACACATTCTAACCACAGACAGAAAACTAGTCTGCTGGAAGCATCATTATGGGTTGGCCCTGTTACTACACTCCTCTATGCGTCCAATTATGGAGGCTGTTGGCAAGAGGATGCTGGCCTAGGCTAACTCCTGGCCCCGATTCAGTACGGCTAAGTTTATTATGTTATGACTGCAACAAGTTTGCTTATGATAAAACAACCAACCTGTTGCCTGAACAGTAGAAAGCAAGACAAACGTCGCAACCCTCATTTTGCATATAATGACTTGCTTGTAATCCACATGGAGGCACAGACCTCTTAGAGAACACTTGGTCCCCCTTTCTCAAGAAGACCCTCAGAAAATTACAAAGTCTTAGGAATATGAGCCCATACATCCTGTGGTTAACAATCCACTATCACACCAAAGCTAAAGGAGTGATTTCTTTAGCTCAGGTGGTAAAGAAACGTGTTCAAATGCAACATATTAAAACTTTAATAGAAATCTATGTTGCAGTCATCTCAGAGTTATCTGTCAGGTCAGGAATATAAAGTCCAGAAGATTTCCATATTGAAAAAGTAGTCATTCATGTTCTTAAGGTATGTTTGGAACATTAGCTTGTGATAGGTAAAGACATTAGTTGCACTAGTTGAGGTATCCAGCTTCTGAATGACTGTAATTTAACTGAAGGATTTTGTACATTAATGACTGAGGTAGAGGAGACCTTAACACCTCATCACTGCTGCCAAACACTGTTGCTTTCTTTTTCTATTTGGCTGAAGGCCACATTTCCTGTTCTGCATGAAGAACATAAGATACACATGTGCTTAGCACCATCAAGCTGAGACACGACTCAGTCTTGCAGATAGGAACACAAAACTTGTGTATGAAGGCCATTTCTAACTAATTCACTTCTAAACAACATTAGAAGCTGGGTAGGTCAGTCCATTAGCCATGTCTCTCCTTCGCTCAAGATCAGAGACTATACGTGATGCTAATACACACATTTTCTGTTAGTAAGGTTAGCTCTAAATTTCAGAATGCCTCTCTAATGCTTAGCTGGTGCAGGAGTGAGAGGGGCAAAGACTAAGGAGAGGATGATTTTGAGCAGTATCTTCAGTGCTTACATTGTTATAACCCATTTACAGCAAAACAGTATCTTAACTGAGAAATCATTTTGCCTTATTCCATCCCCATTCAGTTACCACCACTGCATCTCTGGAAATTGATAGTGGAATCCTATAGGAAACAACAATATCAGCAATGTATCTCTATTGTCCTTATCAACATCTGCTGCCCCCTCCTCTCCTTCCCTTTATCTGTCTTACCAGTTTAAAACCAAATTCTGTAAACAAAAAGCAGAAATGAGGGACACATCCTCTCAGAAATACCTGAAGCACAAAGGATGACTTCTTAACTCAGTATATACGCCTCTGTGGGAAAGAAACCCCACCTAAAGTCTCACAGTACGTGACTAGTGTAGAGAGTAATTCATACGTGTGTGATTATGTATATATAGTCTTTATATTTATAAAATGGTAATCACTGTATTAATCAACAAAACCAAAATGATGGTAAAACGCAGAGAATGATCTCATTTGCTCATTTTGTAGACACTAGCAGATGTTGACCAGGAGATAGATGCAAGAGATATTGGCACCACTGACAGCTCATCCCCATCAGGAAACCTCTCAAAGAAACAAGTTTCCTTACCACATGTGCCGGATAGGCACTGACGTGTGTTTCATGGCCACTAGTGCCCCTCCCCAGTCCAGAAACCACACATTGTATTCCTCCTCGAAGATCTGCAAACGAATCAGGTACTGCATGAATGCTCCACTCCACTGGCAAGGGAAGATTCAGAACAATAGCAAAAGGCTCCACGCTTTCCATCACTCAGCAAAACATACCTGTCTCCAGGAATTTCCACCATCAGAAGAGATGAACACACCAACATCAGTGTAGGAAAGCTCAGGGCCAATATTGCCTGCAACACAAGCAAGTGTCAGAAATTCTTGTATGGATGAATACAGAACTGTGTTTTTCCAGGAAACCAAAAGCACTTGGCCTGACCAGTGCTTCTTTGCTGTTCTTTAGTCTATTCTCATCTACAAACAACACTGTGGTAAGGTAGCAAGATTCGTTTACAAGAGCTGTGCCATTTGAAAATTGACACTGGGGAGAAACAGTATTACCAGCTTATTTTCCCAACAGATAGCATTGCCCATAATTGCAAGCCATCTCAAGCAGGCTTATTCTAGCCAAGGACCTACATACTAGAAAAACTGCGTATGAGACCCCTGCCTGTCTGGTGCATACAAATCACCAGAACGGCAGCAGAATAGTGGTCGCTGTGCTTGGCTACCAGAGATTCCATTCCATAGAGATTTTTCCCTGAACTTAGAGTCTTTGTGCTCTGGCTGGTGAGGTACATCTCTGTGATCTGCCAGTCTTTGTCAAAGGTAAGATAATTACCTCTGTCTCTATCTCTTATGTAAAGGAGAGCATCCAAAGGGAAGTTATTCGTACAGCTGAGTTTAAAATTAAAACCAAGGCCCCACTGAAGACCATGATTATGGGGCTAGAAAGTCTACTCGAGGTTCTGTCAAAACGCTCAAACGCATAACTGTGTAATATCTTGTAATTTCCATTAAGATGGAAACTGTTCTGCTGACAGCCTTACAGAGTGAACTACTCTGCCATTACCAGGCATTAGGGAATGGATGTGCCACACATCAAAGCAATGGAAAGAAAAGTTCAGACATTGACCTCAACCATATAGAGAGAGCACAGCAGAACGCCATTTGGAGACGCTACCTCAGAGCTCGAAACAGTGTTTTTTCCAAGGTCCCTCATCTAAGATAGCAGAGAGAACCTTAAATCTTACAGGAATATATCTTAATACAGAGTTAATTGTGAACTTGGACTAAATCTCCAGCACTCTGAGCATCCATCAATAGTTAGTTGCAAGAGAGATGCCCAATATCAGAAAAACCTGCACATGCTCTGAACAGACCTTATTAGCTTATTTCCCCACACTGCCCTGAGGTCAGCATATTGCTTCTGCTTCCAGAGTTAAAATTTCCACAAGCATCAGGCTAACTGAAAAACACAGATCTGCTCTAAATTAATTTGTTCTTACCTCGCCACTTCCCAAAGCACCCAATGACTCAGGGAAAAGCTACCACAGTCACCCAGGAACTATTTTTCCTGCTGGTCTGTCAAAAGTACCTTCAATTTGTGCTAGCTGGGATTCTGGTGGTATGAACGTCTGTCTCATAGGAAGCAGATATAACACTGACAGATACTCCATCAGAAGGCCTCCCAATGATAACAGCCCACAGCCACCACACTGTGGTCAAACCCATGACTTCTTTATTCAAAGCCCATGAATTGTTAGCCCAATGAGCCACTCTTATATCTTTCCAAATGAGACTGTTTTTAAAGCAGGTGTAATTTCCATGGAAGAAAGGGAGAACTAATATTTTTTCTTCAAAAACATCAAGGGGAAAGGTGGCACTCTTACACATCTACAGCATCAACAAGAGCATAATAAAAACACACTAATGAAAATGTTAATTGAATTTCTGACATTTAATGCTGGAAAATGAGAAATTAAAACCCAGATGCGGGTTGATGTACTCCTGTCACCATCATGGAATCCAACTAGCCACAGTGTTGTGACAACACTGTTTCAAAAAATAATATTTCTGGCTCAGGAAGGTGAGACAATTCAATAAAGGTTTTTCCATCAGTCCTCAGGATGTAGGAAACATCACACTGTTCATCTACCTAATCTTCTTCCCTGACACCAGCAAGAGTCACCAACTGCTTTAGATGAAGATACAAGTAAAACCTGCTGTGGGCAACCATGTAGAAGAATAGTTTATAGGGACATCCAGGTTCATGAGGATAAATCTGCTGTGTCAATCCAAAGGTCTGTTTAGCCCAGCATCTTATCATGAGTGGAAGTCCTCAAGAATTAGAAAATTACTCAAAGGCAAAACCGTAAGTTTTATATCATCATATTTTAAATATCAAAACTGGAAAACCAGCTTTCCAAACAGGGATTTCCAGATTGTGGCAAGGAAACAGAGTAAAAAGGTGAGATTCTATTGCTATCACTTCTACCTGTCTGTTTTTCTGTGCAAACCTGTTCATTATTTTCTTCATTCTCTCCACATAGTTTCTTTCAGCTACATAGGTTCAAACCCCACCAAACGTAACTAACTCCCAAACAATTCAAGAGAACTTGGCAGCTGTACAATTAGATACTAAAACATAATTCTTCCCTTTGCAAGAATCTAACCTCTGCCCTCCTATCAAGAGCCTGCATTTCCTATCATTACTGGAAATGTACCACTGTAAATCAGAGAGTAAGACACAGAGAGTTTGAACAGCCGCTGCCTGTGAGAATAAGTTGCAATGCTTATCCTGGAACACATTCACCAACATGGTGAGACATTCCTGTTGTTGTGAAACTGGTTGGTGAAAAGAGATGTGTATATTCCCAACAGGTTAAGTGTTTTATTGTACAAGGCAGTAAGGCAGAAATTATGTTCTTCCTTTTAAAGGTTAATTGTTAAACTGGGAAAGCATTTCCATGCACTGGCAGCCTGAAAAGATCCTCATTTACTAACAATTTAGATCAATGCCTAGAATCTCACTGTCCTGCCTCCTCTATTTACTTCCTAAAAGGTTAAAGAAAAAAGGCTCTGCAATCACAGCATCATGAGTAGGGCTTGCTCCTAAGCATCCATCTAGCAAGTGTTACCTTCTAGGAGTGATTACTCCACTCAGCCATGCATAGGAAGATCTGGAGGTCTAAACTAAATTATCTCACTCCGTTTGGCCTGCATTAGTGAACTGGAAATCACATAGTGTTTCCCTTGTTGAGATATAAATATCACGAAGGGAACCTGTCTCTCAGGTTCTGGCTTAATCTGACAGACACATGGAAGCACAGAAGGACATGAGAATGGAAACAGCTGAAGAAATAGCATAAATTCATATCAGCAATATGCTAACATGACACACTTGCAAACTACTGCTAGGCTGAACGAGACAAAGGAGTTAAAAATGAGGCTTAGAAAGAACAGTTAAGCTATTTGGACATATTTGAGTACATGAAGGAGCCTTCCTGTGAAAAGGCAGGACAGCCTACATGCTTCAGAGGCCAGCCATTCAGAGAGCACTTTGTTAGTCCAGCAGCTCTCACAGAGCTGTGGGCGTTCTGGGTGTGGTTGGTAGCCTCATCCATCCTGATTAGGTTGCACGATGTGTGCACACAGGATCTCCTTCTCTTGGCGTCTCCTTCTCTGGAGATGCTCAAAACCCGCCTGGACACGTTCTTGTGTGATCTAATCTAGGTGGTCCTGCTCCGGCAGGGGGATTGGACTAGAGGATCCTTTGAGGTCCCTTCCAATCCCTAACATTCTGTGATTCTGTGATCTGTAATGGTGTCAGATTAATTACAGTGGGTCAGCCATTGCCACTGTGAAGCATTGTAGCAGGTTGTCATTAAAAAATTGCAACCTGCCAAAGCACTACTTTGCAGAACAACCCACAATAACAATGACCCATGCAGTGTTGACAAAGTGCTTCTAGTTCTGGAGAAATACAGTGTCAAAAGTAGGTGCCATGCACAAGACAAACAGTCATGAAGTCCAGGCTTCACCCGACCGGCTTTGTGACAACTCTGTTTGCTACTCAGGAATGTATTGTTACCTCCCAGGTGCATAGCCATGATTAGAGGCCCTATTCGCATTCACAGTAAGTCCACCAAACGGGTAGACCTACATTAGCGAGTGGAATGATGCCAGGTGAGAAGAGTTAGCAATGCCAGTTGGCAGTGATCTCTTGCAGGTGTGGGCTTAGACCTGCATATGGGTTCTTGCAGAGCAACAAATACCTCACAGAAATTAACTTTTTTGAAGTTGGAGGCCACATGCCTTCTCCTAGCCCATAGCAAATGGGAGTTAATGTGAATTAGCTCAGCCCTTGCTGAAACAGAGCTGAAACCTTTTACATCAACAGGAAACATCTCATGTATTCTTAGGCTCCCAGTGAGGCATGGGTGAGTGGTGAGAAGGACTTATGTTCTTACCTGTTGCCACAAGCAGTCCAGGAGCTGTCTCTTTGCTGGAAATACTTCCAGAAGTATATGGATTCTCTGAGAGTTGCAGATGTAAGTGCAATGAGCAAAAAGGCTGTTGACAGAAAACAAACAAAAGTCAGAAGCTTTGATATGCAACAGGTTAAATATCAGAGGAATCCCTGGCAACTGCACACAGATGCTCCGATCCTTCTGAAAATGACCCCTCTTGTTCTTAGCACTGTTACAAATAGCAGCATATGTTCATTTTCTGAATAATCACCATAAAAGTACCTGAGAGAAAGAGAAGCAGGAACACTACATTATAAGCATGTACATCTGCATTTGTTTTTCCCAACAATCGGATCTAGAGCACTTTCCCCAGAAACTTTCTTATTCTGACTTAAGTTCCATAAAAAAACATCAAGACGGTCAAAATTTTCCTTTAAAAATCTATGAAGCTATAGAAAAAGAAATCTACTTAACTTACTTGATGCCCAACAGGTCAAGAGAAAAAAAGACAGGAAGAGATATTAACCAGTGAAACTCCAGAGAAATACCATTCCTTTGAAACACAGGAGCTCCTGTAAAACGGCTGTTCACTGAATGTTAGTATGGCAGTAAGCCAAACGCAAGGTTTTTATCTGTAAATCATTCCCCAGTTTGGAGCATCTGGTCTCTACAGTTCTCCGACTGACAAGAATCCCTCCCACCCAGCTTCACTGGAAGTTTTGTTAACCTACTAACTAAAATAAGCAGCTCTGAAAGAGTCAATTGTGCTTTGGAAAAGGTCTGCCACTCACCAGCTGGCAAACTACAGGATCCCCTCTTAGACTGGTGTCCGGTGCCTGCAGTAAACGCCAGTCTCTGCCTTTGTTGTAGGTGATGAAAGTCTTGATTTGGTCATCTATTTTCTTGTTAGCCAGGAATAGGCCTTTAATCCCTGCTACCTAGGAAAAATGGAGAAAGATGAAAAAATACATCGGAAGAACAGGCCAAAAGTAAGGCCCATCTGAGCACTCTCAGGAGTAGAAAGTCTCTAAAAAAGCAATAAAGTCATGTCAATTCAGCCTTCAAAGACTATAAATGCATTGCAAGTATATCTTGATGATGACGCCTGCACGACTGAAAGGCCTCTGGAAGAAAAAACTAAGGATGTTCACAAGTAAATCCCTAGGAACAAGCCCACTTTTGGATTTCCTTGAGTACTTGCAGATAGGCTGATGATGGGCTTGAAGGTCCAGCATGCACCATGTCACACATGAGCTCTGTGAGCCAGGGGCTATGGTCTGCCCCAGTCCCTCCCCAGATTGCCATAACATAGGAGACAGCGTGTCACATCAGAAGCAGTGTAGGATCTTTTTGTGCCGGTCTTTTTTTTAATTTTACACAAAAGCTGGAAGTCTTGAATGTGCTGAAACACTGATGTTTTGCAAACTTGATTTCTTCACTTTCCTTCCACTTCCAAATTCTGTGAAAATCAACCTAGTTGTTCCAAATGTTTTGATTTTTGTCAGCAGAACCCATTCCAGCAGAATATAGTCCTGTCAAAATGTCTCCAGGAAGATTTTGTGTTGAGTCTGGTCTCTGTTGCACGGCTGTGGAAGTGAGACAGGAAGAAGGAATTTGCTGAAAATCCTCAACTTCCTGGCAATAGTCAGGATGCAAATCCTACTCTAAAGCCTCTGAGTGACACTGCCCTTGGAATGACTGTGAAAATCTCTGTAAGCATTTCACAGTAAAGAGTCTATGATACACGACACCAGGTCTGCTAGCAACACATGGGGTACACCTGTCTCAAAGGGGGAAAAGGATCTTTGCACAGGAGTTAGCAGGGCTCATTGAAAGAGCTTTAAACTAGATTTGACCGGGGAAAGGAATAAAACCAGGCTTGCTAGAGATAAGCCTGGGGGCACCATGCCAGTGTTTGAGGGATGGGGTGCTGACAAGGTCGTTCCATCTGCTGTCTCAGTGGAGGTAGGGAACAGAGATCCATGCAGCAGCAAAGATGCAAGGGTTATTGATGTGTTAGAAACCACAGAAGTGCCTGAGAACGTTCACATAGGAATTAGGGCTTCTCCCCGTGAAAAGGTGGCGGGATCCATAGCCCAACTGAAGTGCATCTATACCAATGCATGCAGCATGGGCAACAAACAGGAGGAGCTGGAAGCCATTGTGCAGCAGGAAAACTATGATATAGTTGCCATCACAGAAATGTGGGATGACTCATACAACTGAAGTGCTGTAATGGATGGCTATAAACTCTTCAAAAGGGATAGGCAAGAAAGGAGATGCGCTGGGATAGTTTTATATGTTAGGAAGTGTTTTGATTGTCTAGAGCTTAATGACAGTAATGATAGGGTTAAGTTTTTATGTGTAAGAATCAGGAGGAAGGCCAACAAGGCAGATATCACGATGGGTGTCTGTTATAGACCATCCAACCAGGATGAAGAAGCAGACAAAATATTCTATAAGCAGCTGGGAGAAATCTCACAATCGCTAGCCCTAGTTCTCGTGAGGGACTTCAACTTACCAGATGTCTGCTGGAAATACAATATAGCAGAGAGGAAACAGTCTAGGATGTTCCTGGAATGCGTGGAAGATAACTTCCTGACACGGTGAGTGAATCAATACGGAAGGTGCCTCACTGGACCTGTTGTTTGTGAACGGAAAACGACTTGTGGGTGATCTGATGGTTGGAGGCCGTCTTGGGCATAGCGATCACGAAATGACAGAGTTTTGGAGTCTTGAAGAAATAAGGAAGGAGGGCAGCAGAACTACTACCTTGGACTTCTGGAGGGCAGACTTTGGCCTGTTTAGGAGGCTGGTTGACAGAGTTCTTTGGGAGGCAGTCCTGAAGGGCAAAAGAATCCAGGAAGGATGGACAATCTTCAAGAAGAAAATCCTAAAGGCACAGGAGCAGGCTGTCCCCATGTGCTGAAAGATAAGCCAATGGGGAAGAAGACTAGCCTGGCTGAACAGAGGGATTCAGATGGAACTCAGGTAAAAAAAGAGAGTTTATGACCTTTGGAAGAAGGGGCAGGCAACTCAGGAGGACTACAAAGATGTCATGAAGTTATGCAAGGAGAGAATTAGAAGGGGCAAAGCCCAACTAGAACTTAGTCTGGATACTGCTGTAAAAGAAGATAAAAAATGTTTCTATAAATACATTAGCAACAAAAGGAGGGGTAAGGAGAATCTACGTCTTTTATTGGATGCAGAAAGGGAACACAGTGACAAAAGATGAGGAAAAGGGTGAAGTACTCAAAGCCTTCTTTGCCTCAGTCTTTAATAGTAAGACCAATTGTTCTCCGAGTACCCAGCCCCTTGAGCTGGAAGGGAGAAGAATGAAGCCCCCATAATCCAAGGGGAAATGATTAGTGACCTGCTACACCACTTAGACACACACTAGTCTATGGGGCCAGATGGAATCCACCCAAGGGTGCTGAGTGAGCTGGCAGAAGTGCTCACCAAGCCACATCATTTATCAGCAGACCTGGCTAACTGGGGAGGTTGCAGTTGGCTGGAAGTTAGCAAATGTGGCACCCATCTACAAGTCAGCATGGATTTATGAAAGGCAGGTCCTGCTTGACTAACCTGATCTCCTTCTATGACAAGGTGACCCACTTCATGGATGAGGGAAAGGTTGTGGATGTTGACTACCTAGACTTTAGTAAAGCCTTTGACACCATTTCTCACAGCATTCTGCTGGAGAAACTGGCTGGTCATAGCTTGGATGGGCCTACTCATTGCTGGGTAAAAAACTAGCTGGATGGCTGGACCCAAAGAGGTGTGGTGAATGGAGTTAAATCCAGTGGTGTTCTCCAGGGCTCAGTACTGGGACCAGTTCTGTTTAATATCTTTATCAACAATCTGGACACGGGGGATACAGTACACCCTCAGTAAGTTTGCAGACACCAAGTTGGGCAGGAGCATTGATCTGCTTGAGGGTAGGAAGGCTCTACAGAGGGACCTGGACAGGCTGGATCGATGTGCTGAGGCCAGTTGTATGAAGTTCAACAAGGCCAAGTGTCAGGTCCTGCACTGAAGTCACCACAACCCCATGCAATGCTTCAGGCTTGGGGAAGAGTGGCTGGAAAGCTGCCTGGAGAAAAAGACCTGGGGGTATTGGTCGATAGCCAGCTGAATATGAACTAGCAGTGTGCCCAGGTGGCCAAGAAGGCCAAGAGCATCCTGGCTTGTATCAGACATAGTGTGGCCAGAAGGACTAGAAAGTGACTGTCCCCCTGTACTGGGCACTGGTGAGGCTGCATCTCAAATGCTGTGTTCAGTTTTGGGCCCCTCACTACGAGACAGACATTGAGGTGCTGGAGTGGATCCAAAGAAGGGTAATGAAGCTGGTGAAGGATCTAGAGCACAAGTCTTATGAGGAGCGGCTGAGGGAACTGGGGTTCTTTAGTCTGGAGAAAAGAAGGCTGAGGGAAGTCCTTACCACTCTCTACAACTACCTGAAAGGAGGTTGTAGCAAGGTGAGCGTCGGTCTTTTCTCTCAAGTAACAAGTGACAGGACAAGAGGCAATGGCCTCAAGTTACACCAGAGAAGGTTTAGATTGGATATTAAGAAAAATTTCTTCACTGAAAGGCGTGTCAAGCATTGGAACAGGCTGCCCAGGGAACTGGTGAGTCACCACCTCGGAGCCTTTTAAGAGATGTGCAGATGTAGTGCTTAGGGACAAAGTTTAGTGGTGGACTTGGCAGTGCTAGGTTAATGGTTGGACTTAGTGATCTTAAAGGTCTTCTCTAACCTAAATGATTCTATGATTCTGCGATATACAACTGGGGAATACAGAGCTTGCCAAGGATAAAGGGAGGTGATGCATGTTTATTTTAGCCGGTTTATGACAATAAAGAAATACACCTTTTTTCCATAGGCAAGAATATATATTTAACTAGGTGAAAATCAAATGTAAAGTCTGTCCTTTATACTAATCCATACATTATTTTAAAATTTTCTCTCATTGCCTTAAACTACCTGGATTTTTATAAACAAATTGATGATGTGGTTAAACGGGCATTATTCTGGCTGAAATAAATAAATGTATAATCCTAACTTCTATATGTAACTGCAAACACATTTATCCACGCAACAACAGAACTTTCCCAAGTCAGCTTGCAACCATTACTATTAGTATACAAATTAGTTGTTTCTTGCTGGCAAAGCTCTGAGCCCTGAACCTCAGCAGATGTTCCATCCAACAAGTTATGACACACCAAAACCAGAATACTTTGAAGAAAGCAGGAACTGGAATAACTGCTCTGAATGGACTGTTGTTGTCCGAGGCTGAAAGGCCTGGCAGAAGAATAAAAATGGAAGATGACTCAGAGTATAAGTTATCTAGTTGTTACCTCTGAGAAAACGGCATCTATAAACTTTTGCTTATAATTCATAAACCGCCCAGTGTTCACAAAGGTGGAATCCACATTCTCTGCCTGCAAGCAGGGGTGTCTAGCTGTCCAAGGAGACAAACAGTATTTTGAGTCTTTCTCTAGACATCTACATTAGGATGAGAAGTACAATGATTTTCGCTTTTGGAAATGCCACACAGCTAGCCAATCGCTGACTTGAAAGCAACAAAAGTTGTCATGCCTATAGTAGAATGCACTGCATCTATTCTCACACAAATTGGCTCAGCATGAAATCCAGTAAATGCCTCTGGGCTGATCACAAAACAAATGAAGATCCTGGAAGGCTGGTAAAGAGATTTGCACTTGCTTGAACTAGCAAGCAGTTGGTGTTCTTTGTAGGCTGACCTTTACTACATACCTCATAAAGGTCAATGATGATATTCCCCTCCAGTCCTCGACTGCTTTTCACATTTTCCAAGGCCAGGGTGAAGTACACGCCTCGGGTGTCTGAGATATACAGGTTGTACGTGTCATTCTGGTTCCACTCTTGAACAGCTGCAAACACCTGATTCTCATCTGTGCTGATAATATGCATGTCCTGTTAAAAGAAGACAAAAGGCCTATTACTGAGGATCTCTGTATTTCATTGCCCTTTGGGACATGTAGTAATTACCATGACTTATGAAAGAATGGAGATGGAGCATGAATTATAGGTATGTTAAACAGTTTTCTGTTAGAGCAAGCCAATAAATTACCACCATTGTGACTTTTCTGCATTTCATTTTTTTAATGATCACCAGCTGGGCAAAGGGTTTTTGCTTTCTTCATTTTGGGTAGCTTCAAGGAATTTCATCCAGATTCATTTTTTATTTATAAATTTGAAAGTCAGTTTTATCACTCATGGAAGATTCACAGCCTTGGAGCCTGGAGTCCTCATAGTCACTAAGCATGGTGTAGCACCAGGCTAAAGGCAGTGACAATTTCCATCCACGTGCGGAACTAATGGGCTTGTGCTTCCAACTGGTAAAGAACCAGTTTCAAAAAAACCTGGGAGTTCACATTTATTTGAAGCTGAGGTATAGGGATCAGTTGGAGCTAATGCTGGTAGTGATTTTTAATGACATACTTTTCCATTGAGAGTTTGTATGAGATCTATTATCCAACTATATACAGGTATCAAATAATTCACTCACTAACCTTTGCTGGATT